TGCATTTCAAACTTTTTTTCAGTAAATCTTTTTAGTTTATCTGTTATTTTCTCTATCCTATCTCAAAACGAGATTGGTCAAATCAACCGACCTCGTAACCACCAAAAAAAATTTACATAATCCTAAATTAGCCTTTCTTTTATTTCTAGAATGACTTCAAATTGTAACATGAAACTATATTCGTTTATCCTAAGTAAGTCTAAGTTCCTAAAATTATACATCTATTTATAATTAAATTTTATTGTTTTAATGCCATTTGAACCATGTCTAACTACTATCTGTACCATAAAAAGTTGTAAATCACTTGGAGAATGTGTAGGTCATGTTACGCTATCGAATTACATTATCCACGAGCTACTATGAGTTGCTCACATGCATGCCTTGTGAACCATTTTAATTATATTATTATTGTTACTTTTTTTACCTAATCTAGTCTTAAATAACTTAAAAAGATCTGTATTTTTAGATTTGAGATACTTTTATAATAATAAATAAAGAATGAATATGAAAGACAAGAAATAAAGTATTTACCCAACCTTCTTTTTTCTTGCCCTCGTTTGTCGATGACAGTTAAGCTTTATTTTTTACAGTACTAATAATAATGCACTTAATAATTTTTATTTAATTAAATAGTGCACCAAAGAATATAGACTAATAACATGCAAAAAGTGGATAAATTCACTTACCTCTCAAAATTTTTCTGGTTTTCTAACTATGCGACAAAAGCTGTTACAAGCTCAAACAAGCTAGTTGGTAACTTTCCCACGGGAAAGATGTTGCTACTCTGAGTGAAATTAACTTCTAACTGTTCAGAACATAACATTATACAATATGTCATTTGATAGATGAAAGCCTTGACTTTCTATTGGTTGTAGGTAATTTACAATGAAACGTAAGAATGAACTATCAACGAATTCTGAAAGAGAGGATGTGACATGTGGGTGTGGCAGCTGGGGTCTGATTTTCTATTTGATAGCTCTATAACCAAACAAAATTGAAGACTATAAAAAATTATGGTTTGTATGAGCAATAATGATTGTAGAGAGAGTAATTTACATTTACTTTTGTACTTTTTTGAGAGGTGGTGGAAAAAATAGGGATGGTGACATGCTAAGAGAAAATGTGTCACGTGGGTCACACTAATGGAAATTCAGGAGTTTTTTATTATTGCCTACTAGGATTAAGAACTTAAAATGTATATACTATTACAACATGAACTATTAGCTAAGATTTTATGCTATTCTGATTGGTATAACATAAACAAAAAAGTAGTTTAATGAAATTTTGAATGTAAGACACTAAAACCTTGTGTCATTCGCATTAAAGGATACCTCGGGCAATAGGGTTAAGTCTGTCTTATCGACTACCAATCGATTATTGTAACTCCATACTTTTGAGTCCCCAGAACTCTCCAGATTTCTCACATCGTTTTGGGTAATTTGTCCCAAATGACCATTCCAGTTACCTGACAGGTAGATTAAGGTTATGTGTTCTTTCTCTACACCTGTTTGTGACCTGACTCTTATATGCCACATATCCCCTTTACCTGCAGGTTTATTTTTCGTGGCTGTTGACCTACGGACATTATCGGTCAGAGTGATTTGCACTGTTTGTCTACAGACCACTGTCTCATTCTCTATACGTCCTTAGACCAGTTCTTCTTACCCAACACTCTGTCAGACAGGAAAGGGGTTCATTCCTTTTCTCTGTTTCATCTGCTCACATTTTCTCTCTATGTCCAATCAGATTTCAATCTTGGTTATGTTCAGTGATGGTCTTGAAGGTTTCGTTGCTTGCACTTGTACCTTTAGAGATACTAGACAACACTGTTTCCAGAGCACTGTTACTCAGGGCTCCTCAATGCGCATTACCTCCCAGATTCTATTCACGGAGCTAGGGAGCCCTTACCACACCCAGTTTCCAGTCACTGGAGTGGTGGACAGAGGCTTTTCCTCCAGGGTGTTGAGTGAATTCTTCCACTCTTGGAGAAGAGGGTGAAGTTGGGGTCCCTTCTACCTGGGTCCCTGGATGTTTTTTCTAGATGTTGCTAGAAGTAGCACCAGCCTATGTGGGAAGCTATTTATAATACGGGTTCAGATTTGATGCTTGGCTATCTGGTTGGGGTGTGCATGGCCTTTGTTTTTGATCAATATTGGTTCAGTATATTGTTCATGGAAGGAGGTCAACCGTCTCCTCATAATTCCAAATGCACAGTGGTCCTCAATTGTTCCATGTCTTCCCCATAATTCCAGGGGCAAGTGGAAGGCTCCTTGTCCACTCAGTTGGGGAGTGAGGATGAATGTTCATAATTCAAAATTGGATGAGTTCTGTTCCTTTGGTTGAGTAAAGCCTTTCGGGTGGAGGAGAAGGTTTGTCCACTTTGCTTACTTTCTCATCGTCATTCTCGTTGTTTGGAACGCATCACTCTATGGCTGCTGGTTGGGATCCAATCAAAAGTATATCTGTATATAACATTGCAGTCCAATTGCCCCAGCCACCAACATGGGACATAGGGACCAAGACCCTTTAATTCCAATATGGAGTAGTGGAATCTTGGCTATCTGGTTGTGGCTGGCCTATAGTGATGATCACTCATGTACAATTCCACCTTTGATACTGGAGCTAAGTTCAGGGTGAAAAGCATACCTGTTATGGATGTAGTGTAGTTTCCACACTTGGGTACTACTCTAATCTTGGTACACCCATGACCTATGCAGACACTTTCTTTATGAATAATACCTTCACTGGCTCCTCCACCTTCTCAATGTGGTATTCTAGCTATAAGTGGCGGCAAAGGTATGTATTAGAAGTTAACATTTTCCTAAATTGAAAATGTATTTCCTATAATACTTACCTCTGCTGACACTCTCCTGTTCTTCCTCCCACTAAGAGCCGGTGTTAGAGACTGGGATGGTATCAGTCTCAAAAAAGTGATAAAATGATCTGAATGAGGTGCTTATATACAGTACCAGGATAGAGGATGCATTGATGTAGGTGTAGAGTATCACAAAACAATTATCGCCAAAGGCAGTTGAATGGGGTATAAAAGACTGGAGCAAGTGAGAAAAAATCAGACTAATGATTAGATTGGCAAAGAAAAAACCCTGGTGTTTGAGTAAATGCCTTCCCTCTAATCTATCAGCTCAAAATTAGGGAAAGGGTGGTGCAGATAGCTCTTTAGTAGCTTTGCTTGAATATTGGAACAAAAATTACAAGCAAATAAATTGATCTGTAATTGAATGTGTCTAGTTATTTATGAAGAAATAGCACTTATCTTGATCTGCAGTGTGCAAACATTTGAGTTTTAATAGGGAAGTGGTTATTTCACTTTAGAAATGCATCTAGTTGTTGTAAGTGTTTTCTGTTCTTGTTTATGTTCTAGAGCATCTTCACCAGTCTTCTAGATCTTCTCCGTCCCCATCAGCTACACCAAGAAAGTCTTCTCCTCTGGTAGGACACAGAAGACTGAAATTAGCAGGTACCAGGTCAGTCGACCAAGTAGACTCCACGACTTTTTGTTCTGATGTAAGTTGTGTATTTGTGGTCAGATTGAGAATTTTTATACCAGTGAAATCATACTTTCAGTAATTATGTCTATGTCTGCTGAATTCTTTAATTATAGCTAAAATGCTATCTCCAGGTGACTCAGCAGTATGTTTCAGTGGCCATATTACAGATAGTCCCTTGTGTAGCATTGTGCTTAAACACAAAACAAACAAACAAAACCTAAAATGCTTTGACTTAAAAAAAAACATAATAGTTTAAGTTATGAATAAACACCCATTTTCCTTGCCTACGGTTTAGGCTTAGCATATTTTACTGTGTGAACCCCAAGTATCTAGATTAATTGCTATTGTAGCAGTCTTTTGGCATGGAATTTTGTAAGCAGGTTATAAACATAAGTATAATGTATAGTTTCAATAGCAGACTTATAACTGCATAGATACTGTATGTCATACAGGTTTTTGTAATGAACATTTGGAATTATCATTACCATAGAAACTTCCATATTAAATGTAATGAAGTGAAATTATTTAATTAGCTGTGCATTGTGGTTTCTTCTGTTTTTATCAACAATGAATGACTGTTAATCTTTCAGACTCATAACATGAGATAAAATTATTAAGTAAATGTTTTGCCTATCGAAAGCTCTATATTTGGGCTGTAACCTTGTGTTAGTGAAAAACTAATTAGAACATAGGATAATATGCTGGTGACTCAAGAATGATGCAGATAACTACAAACACCAATACATACAACTACTGTAAAGCACTGTATAATCTACTGTAGCATTGTGATTGCATGCTTTTTGGGCAAAGATTTTATGTTAGTTTTATGCATATTTAAAGTTATTAAAATTTCTAAAAACTGCAGCATGTGGGATCTAACACCACATTCACATGTTCTCAATAATTGTTGTGTTTTTTGTCCAGTATATTTTCTTAGCAATGTGAACACAAAAAATTACATACAATGAGATATTTATTATATCAGCGACCATATTTTCATTTATGAATAGCTGTATTTTACCACACACTTTCAACATCTCCTTCATCAAGATGGAGTTGTAATCTTATAAGCTTATTATCTAATTTGTTATATTCAGCAATAAAGAAAAAAACCAACAAAGGGTATGAAACTATAGCTTTATGTTGCTGTTTTTAAATTTAACATGGTTACTTTAATTTTAAGTATATCAAAGATTTGTGCAATCTTTATTTTCTACATAGCCTGAACTTGTAATCACATTTTATTTTGTTTGTCAAAAATGACTATTAATAAGTTTAGAAGAACATTTATTAGAAAATTAATATTACAAATGCCTCAGAAATTTTGTATATATTCTTTTTTTGCATTCACATCGTTAAGAAAGTATTCTGGACAAAAAACATAACAATTATTGGGAACATGTGATGTTAAGTCCCAGGTGCTGCATTCATTAGAAATTTTGATAATCTCAAGAATGCACAAAAGCTGCTCTAAAAACTTTTTTCCAAAAATCATGTAATAACAATGCTGCAATAGATTATACAGTGGTTTACTGGAGTTGTATGTTTTGATGTTTGTAGTTCTCTGTATCAGTCTTGAGTCATCAGCATATACAAAGTTCTGATGTATGTAACAAACACTCAGCAACATTGGCATAATGCCAGAATCTGTAGCCTGTAGTAAATAACCAACAGCTGGAATCTGTATCTTTGTTTCGTAAAGTTGGTTTTGTAACAGTTGGAATTTTGTCATGCACAAACCTCTTGCAAATGAGGTGCACTCATAACTAGTTTTTCCTTTGATTAAGAAAAAAGAAACTATTACTTGCTCTTAACAACCCACTGTTATTTCTTGAAGTAATCTTTAAGATATTAAATACTTTCAGAACACAGAATAGACACAAAGCAAAAAATGAACTGTTGTTATAAATGTTTTTACTAAAATAAAATACCCATGTATAATAATGTATAGTTATTGTCACTCATTACTAGAGGACAAGAAGTGCTCCTGAAGACTTAAGTCTCACTGGACTGTGTGGGTACCAAGACAAACATCTTTTGAATAGGAAGACAAAAACAGCTTGTGATACTGAGACTTCTAGTTTGAGACGAGCCATCTCTAGCTCTTTCCTTCAGGAGTGTAAGCAGGAGAAGAAACGAGGCTCAGCAGAGACTGTCTCCCTTCTTGGGTTCGAGGAAATCTCAGATAATTCTTTAAATGCACAGAAGCTTCCCAGCCTTACCAAAGATCAGTTGAAAGCTTTGTCAGGTAAATTGAACAATAGCAGTATTTTTATAGGTGTTTTGATAACTTGGTTATTTGTCTTTTTTTACAGACTTGTGTGTGTTTATTCAGAAGGTTTTAGAGGTTTTGCCAATCAAGAAGAATGGAGAAAAGTTAAAATATGCTAGAATAAATATCAAAAATAGACATGCTAAGACAGACTCATCAGCTGCTCTTATGATGAGTTACTCAAAACCCTTAACTATGCATGACAAGTTTGACAAACTACTGAGAAGTGATGCTATTATCATCTACTCTGATATATATATATATATATATATATATTAGTATAATTTAGTGAAAATTAATAAATAAATTAATAGACATTTAATATATTCAATCCATATGGTATAAATAATTCATAAATAAAGAGAAGATTATAGATAACTACACAAAGAAACACATCAAGTCATTAATTGTATCTGAAATAATTTATAGACCATAAATACGTAACACAAATAGCACTGGTAACATACACTTTCAATACTTTATCCAGTTGGTTATATGCTGAGAACATTCGTAAGGTTTTTCTGTTTTCAATAGAATTATGGGAAGATTATAGCCATGTCTATAAGCAGTCTGAGCTCCAGCTTTTCTTAACTATTTCAGCATGGGCTCAGTCCCGGGGACCGACCTTATAACCATTTTGTGCTTGTTATAGTTTTCATGCTATAACTTTTAAATTAGTAAGTGTTTGTTCACAAAATTTGGCAGATTATCAGTATACATTACAAGGCTTTCATATGCGAAATATCAGATTTTTTTTATTATTAAGTCTTAAGGTTTGTTAAGCAGTGTTTTTCTCATGCCTCTTTTCTTTTTGCATGTTGCCTAGCCAGCATGCAAAGTAATTTTCATTTTAAGATTAAAAATACTTTTATGCATCAGAAAATTTTCAAATTTCACAGGTGAAATCTTTATAATGTCCAGGTAGTTATCAAATGTTTCTTAAGAAAAAAACTTTATATTTTATCTGTTATTTTCACTAATGAATCTCTGTACAGGTTCTTTTAATTTGACCGATCTCATAACCACCATAAAAAATTAGTAAATAAATATAAATTATGCCTTTTTAGTTCTAGAATGACAACAGATTATAACACAAAAACACAAATGTTTAGAATAAATTGCTTAAATCTCATAACATTATACATTTATATATGTTTATTATTTTTATTATATTGACATTTCAGCCATGCCTACTAAAAATACAGAAGTTACAATGACGTGGCGCATGTGTACTTAT